GCTCAGCAATAAAACGGGGGGGGGGTGGGGGGGACATTTGGAGTCATGGCGTTTTGTCTTCCCAAGTAACCATTACGCGTGATGGAGCCCTGCTTTCCTGGAGATGGCTGAACACCTGCCTGCCAATGGGAAGTAGGGAATGAACTTATTTTGCTTTGCTTGCACATGCAGCTTTTGCTTTACCTATTAAACTCTCTTTATCCTAACTCATGCGTTTACTCACTTTTACCCTTCTGATTCTCTTCCCCATCCCACTACAGGGGGAGTGAGAGCACGGCTGGGTGGGGCTGAGCTGCCTGCTGGGATTAAACCACGACAAGATCAAAGATCATTTAGAGTTTCCTTTCAAAGACTTCTCTAAATCAGGCCTTATGTGCATACTAGTGACTGCAGAGGATGTATGGCTGTCCTCTCTAGAATGGATAACCTTTGCCAAGCTTGGTGAGGTGATTTGTGTCTGCAGTGCCATGGCTCTCTTTGATTAAGGGTTATTGCAGCAGTAATGGCATGCATCAGTTTTGCTATTCCAGAAACAGTCCTTTGCTCAGGCTGTTTAGATTAATGGCAGTATAATCCAGGTCAGTATCAAAATTCTTGCAGGAGCACCATTTATACTGTATTTTGTTATTCTCAATAAATAATAGTGATATTTAATTCATCATTTGCATTTCATGAGCTTCTAAGCCTGCAGTTTTGGGGACAGAGTAAATAGGATCAAGATTTCTTAATTATCGTGTTTTAACAGATTGTCCATGCTTGCTGCTGGGTCACTTCACTTTTTCAAACTGGGGAAATGAATGAATGTAATCTCAGTGTATAAAAGCATGTGTAGGGGCAAGTTCATACAGGCTCTCCGTCTGTAGCTCTCTTTATGGGTTAATTAAGTCACGCATAATGGTACTTAAATACATATAAGATAGTCTGAAGAAATGACTAGCAACAGCTAATCTTGAAAAAAAGCAAGATCTAAGAAAAATTTGGCCTTCTGTACTTTCATATTGTACGGGGAAGAGATGCAGTGAGAGTGCATGTCTGTGCATAGATCTCTTACTAAGTAAGTATCTCTTTATGAGCATCAGAGTTAATAAATCCTTAAAAAAAATAGGAAATACAGTACCTTCCTTATGGCTAAATGTTCTGACTGGATTTCTAAATCCTTACCTCCTAGCCCTCATAGCATTTTTCTGGGCAGAGGTATATGAGGGTGCTAGATTTTAATGTCTAATGAGCATATGACAACATAAAAGCACCAAGACAGGTTTAGGCATCCTGGCTGGAAGACTAACACATAACTTAAAAAGCAAATGCAAAACAATAAACACAGACTAAACGAAATATTAGTCTTAGCCTTTGAATTGCTATACAAGTTCCAGCTGTGTTATTGAATATATTCTATCAGGCCATTTCCACCAGGCTTCCTCCAGAGCCAACAATGAAATGCTCGGGAAGAAGAGGTGGCAGGGGCAGACCCTCTGCCTCAGTTTCCTACTGCTCAGGTGTTACACAGCAGCAAGCTGGAGTGGTTCTCTTGAGTGCCGAAGTCCTGGATTCTCAATTATTGGCCTTCTAACTGCTGAGCTTTAAATTAAAAAAAAGAAAATTCTTCATGTTGAACTCTTTTGCAGCTGATGAGGACATCTGTGCTGCAATCCTGTACTGCAACACCTATTAGCCACCCATTTTTCTCTGACCCTCCCATTCATCAGCTTTTTGAAGCTGTAGGGAATGAAGCAAGTGCTGGCATTGCTCTTTCCTGACTCTGCAGCACGCGTTCTGGAAGGCAGTCTGGGAGACCAACAGAGAAGGGGTTAAAGTGCTCTGTGTTTTGCACTTGGTTACTAACCTTCGAGCCAAGGGGGAATTGTTCTCCTTTCATTGAAGTCCTTCAATCTCTTTGCATTACTTTTGGTGCTGTATAACATTTTAAAAGCTTCCTGGCTGACAGACATGGCCGGAGGCAGAGCTCTGCTGGGAGAACTGTAATGTACAGAGCCTCCTCAACAAAGAGCAGTGGCATAGCAGTTAAATTGAATACAGCGTGATTTGGGGGTTTGTGAAGCAGTGCAGACTATCCCACCACTTTTTTATGTTCTTTATTTCCAGCTCCCATTTATGGCTGGGCAATTCAAAAGGATACTTTGAATTCTTTGTTTGGGTTATTTTTGCTATGTTTCATGGTTACTATGATTTTTCCATAAAAACTATGCATGCACCCTGCAACCATGGATCAAGAGAGGCACAGGAGTTTGGAAGTCTTGGAACTGAATTATGGATAAACACAGTCTGAACCTGATGTAATACACCGTTGAATGCATTGAAGAGAGAAGCACAAAAAGTCATGTGAACTGTTAAATAAAAAAAGCTGTTAATAGAAATACATAACAAATATATTAATATTGAGTGCAGTTCACTAGTGTGGTAGGGTCCTGTCTTAAAGTTCTTTTGTTGGAATAAAATCCATAGAATATAAATGATAATGCAAGTGGGAAGTTTGTACCCATTGTACCTAAGAATATTTTGCTCTAGAATAAAAAGACTGAAATGTCTTCAGCACAACTTAGAAAAACTTTTTTTTTTTTTTTTAAGGATCATGAGCAGATAGGAGTTCTTCCCTCATTTTTAATCCTTTCTGAAGGTAGAATTAAAACACTCACTTGCACTAGATACCTTTTCACCACATTTTTTTCTTTCTTTTTTATTAAGACCTAAAACATAGCCTTTCTAATCAGAACAGCAAATCTTGCCCTAAATTTAGAATAGGAAGTACAATTCTTTTTCTTGAGTGGTTTTTTTTTTCTTCTTCAAAACTTGTTAGGTTTTCTGGGGTCCCAATTATAAATCCTTTCTATTTAGGTACTTCAGCATGTACCTAACAAATAAGAATTTTTATGTTATTTATTGTTATGGATAGTAATAATATTATTTGTAAGGAAAATATAACCTTTGGCAGTGTTTGAAAACAAAAAATATATATGGTTAGGTACTTTACTGTTTCTTCTTTTCTGAGGTCCATATCATGTCATTGATTTTTAAGCAGAATTCTTTATTGATTTGGTAGAAACTTCTGCTTAAAAATTAATGACACAATATGGCCCTAACAAAGTGGTGAATTCCATAGTGGTATAAATTCTATTTTGGTTTTTAAAATGTAAAGTGCATCCATCTTAAATCCTACAAGCAGTATTTCTTGTACCTGACAACCAGCAGACCGTAGAGTAGGTTGGCACTTCATTCCTAGGTTGTAGGTCTTAATGAGACAAGATTATTAATTTATTCTTAAGTCTTCAATCCACAGTGGGATTTAAAATTTGTTAGCACGGAAATGTGGTTTATGGAAATATTAGTTGTCAGAAAACAACTTCGATCCCCTTCTATTCAAGTTAGTGCAACATGCAGCCTGCTGGTCATCCACCCCTAATGAAGAAGAGCCATGGAAGGGAAAGTGTATTCGTTAAACAGATGTCCTGGGCCTTAGTAAAGTGTGAGGGTTCAGTTTTAACACCTGCATCAGGGCCAGAATAGGCGAGGATAGCTTCAAGGAAGCCATTAAGCCATTCTCCCTATTAAAAGAAAGATCAATAGCTTGGAAGAGTGGGGAAAAATAAACACTACAGTCTTCATGTTGCCTCAGTACTTACTGCTGCCTTCCTGAAAAGGAATGTAGAAGTTGTGTTATTGTTTATTGTCTAATTCTGAATTCTAGAATAGCTCCATTTGTTTCAGCATGGATTCCAAAGATTTAGCAGTCTTCATGGTGTCTTTACCGGGGCCTGGGTCACAGCATTTTCAGATGGTGTGAGTGCTCATTTTCACCAGTTTTTATTGCTGCTGAATTTGGCGCAAAGTTGCGAATGACAGCTAGAGCTACATTTTATTGGACTTGTTTCATACTCCATAGTATTTAAATATTTACATCCCTAATATTTAAATATTTAAATCCTTTAGCACTGTCATTTTATTAATTGCAGGCAATGAATCAGAACATTTCGTAGATACAAAAAGAAAGCACCTCTGTTAATTATACTGTGGCTAGAAAACAGAGTATATTTTCCTATCTGTCTTTCTGATAAAATAGTCTGTGCTGGTATAAACAGAGCAGTGTGAGAGCATAACAATTCCTTTAGGCTTTTTTTTTTTTCTTCTTTGCTGATGGCATTTTGCTGCTACAAGGATCACCACAGTTTTAATTGTCACCTTGATGTGACAGTTCTGTCTCAGCCCTGTAGTTAGTTAGCACTGATTTATTTTTAATCTGTGTACCTGGCATTTGTCAGTATAAATGAGTATCACTGTCTTATCTTACTGGCTTCTGTGTTGTTTCATTTTCTACACTGACTGCAGTTTTATCATTTTCTCCCTATATCAGGACTGCATTTCTTAATGTACTTTACAGCAGTCTTGAAGAACAACACAGCTATCATTTTGATACAAGGCTTGTTGTGAGAAGAGAATGCCAGTCATAGACTTCATATTGCGTGTTGGCAGTTTTGTGGTATTTAGCTGTATGAGCACTATTTCCCTTTATTATTTCCCATGGAATTCATACAAATCTATCCTCCAGAGTCCAAGGT